TCTCTCCATCTCTCCTGCTTTCTTCTCTCAAATTATCAATCCCCTTCTTTCTCTTTATCTGTCCTTCTGTTCTCTATCTTTCTTTTGACGTGAGACAAAAGTGTTTTCTATTAAAACTGCAATCAAATCTGCTAATGCTACAAATACTACCGGGGTATTGTAAATTTTGCCATGCAGGTCTAAATTTACAAAAAAAGTGGTTTAATGAATAACAGAAAGGATGATCGACTGAATGAATGAATGAATGAATGAATGAACAAACAAACAAATGAATTAATAAATGCCTGAAAAAAAGAATATATACGTGAATGAATGAATGAATGAATGAATGAATGAATGAATGAATGAATTATAGAGTACTATATCATGCCCAAGCAGTGCACAAATGGGAATGTGGAGGGGGGGGGGTGGATTCATTGATGTATCTGTAACAGAACTTCTAGTCTAGTCAAGCACCATGCACGAGCTAGAGACAGTGCAAGTGTGGCACCTGTCACTTGATTCTCCACTTCCTCATCAGGCAGACAGTTCAGAGTTGCGCGGGAAGATGTGTTACTGACGCCTGGAATTTTAAAGATATCTCAATGTTCAATAGCAATGTCATGCGAGTATTCCGTATGTTGATTCCCCTTTTAGATAACATAAAACTGTGGGAGCAGCGACAAGCATGTCTACACCAATATCACAACAACAACAGCTGCAGCAACAATAACACTTACAGCTGCAACAACAACAACAACAATAACACTAACATTAAAAACACAAACAACAACAACAACAACAACAATAACAATAACAACAACAATGATAACACCAACAACAAAAATAGAAACCCAGAGCGACTGTGACATGGTCAACAACAACCACAACAACGACTATATTGTTTGAATAATAACCCTCTCTAAGTATAGAGAAACTAGGTGGAAAAGGGGGAAAAACAAAATAAACTAAAACAGTCATGATAGTCCCATTCACCTGTTTCCCAACATTCCACCTCACCCTGGCGAGGTTTAAGATTCATTTCTCATCACGTGTATTCTTTTTCCAAACTCGTTACTCACAATTAAACGACACAAACTCACACGCACTCGGAAAAGTGCCCATGACCTCCGACTTTTCCCAAGAACATTTTGTGGAGGGGAGGGGGCTGGGTCCCGTCCCTCAACCAATTGTAAATTTGTAGGTGAACCAACATAGGTGATTGGCAGGTACTTTGGTGAGGTTTGCTTCTTTTTTCCTATCAGCCATCTTTCGTCCTTATCTCCTCGCCTTTTTTGTTTTTGTTTGTTTCTCTATTATACCACCTCTGATCGAGATCACTAATGTGATCCAACTGTGTTGCAAGTGCCGTAAAAACTTTACTAACACAAAACAAGCAACATACCAACAGTGAGCTCTGTAACCGCCGGCTCAGTATTCAACATTTCGATCGAAGATCGAGCTGGAGACTGTAGAGGACGTTTGATTGGCTGCTCCGGCACCAGTTGGTGCATGCGCAGTCGACGACAGTAGATGGAGGCAGCTTCCGGTTCTAAGGCAATAAGGAGTTGCTCTGGGAAGTCAGGGCTTGCCATGCCTGCCTGAAGAAACAACCACAATATATTATTATACATAATGCCAAAATGCTGGACCCGGAAAACCCCCCCAACTTTTAACGCCAAATAAGTAAGCATTTAACCTAAGTGAAGTAAGCCCGGGGTTAAACATTTGCAAACTGCAAATGTGTTTCCTCAACCGAGTGTTAATCTAAGAGGTGTAATCGTCTCTTTATTATTTTATTGGAAACAGGGCATTCTTTTTTAAGTATCTTGTTCTAACCTATCTAGGCTGCTGTACCCATTTGAACTCCCCTAGGGTGAGTAAAACCGAATAAGCGCCACCGAACTACAGTCAGAAAATAATAGGGGAAAGTCAATGATAAACACACACACACACAC